TTTAATATTTTTTTCTATAATTAAATATAAAAACAACTATGTTATTTAATTTAGTTTAACTAATTTTTGGCATAATTTAAATTAATTTTTATTATTAAAAAAACTAATTTTATTAATTTTAACCAAATAATTTTAACAATTTCAACAAAAACTTTTTATTAAAAAGGGTAATTCTACCTTCATCTATACTCGAAATAATGCGCTCATGTAATATGTTCGCAGATTTATAATATAAAAAATAATCAAACTTAAAAAAATTGACTATCTCAAAATAACGCATATGAGTGTGTCTAAAATAAAGTGCAGGTACTCAAAATAGCGCGCAGATATAGGTTATTTTGTGGTTTTACGGTAGATAGAATTTATAATATCGTAAAGAAAAAATTAAATATCAATGTTTTCCCTGTTCAAAAATTCTCGAGCCTTTACATGATCATTCAAAGCTGCTAGCCTTAAATAACTTTATCCAATTTCTCGATCAGCTTCTACAATACTTCCCTTTAAATATAATTTACCTAAATGATACTCTGCTTCCTCATTTCCTTGATCGGCTAATAATTTCAAATATTTTAAAAATTCCTTTTGTTTTTCCGGATCCTTTATATCCTTAATTAAGGTAAATGCATAATTTAATTGAGCAACTGCAATACCATAATCAGTGGCTTCCTTAAAAAGCTTCTTAGCTTCTTCGAGGTTTCATCAATAATATAGCCCTTGGATAAATAATAACCTTTTCAGAATTTTGCTATAGAATTTCCTAGATCAGTATTTGCAACAAAACATCACCAAGCTTTTTGCATACTTTCTTCATCCCCTTTATAATAAAGTTCAATTCCTTTTTTAAGAGGCATGATCGTCTCAAATGCATTATTATCAAATTTTAATTCTTCAAATTCAATGTCTGGCATCATCGTTCTAGCGCAAACGCTATTCATTCCGTCTAAGTCTATGCTTTTGTCTGGAAAGAGACCATAAGAATAGCCAGCCTTAATATATTTTACTTTCAATTCTGATAATTCTAAAAATAATGCTAGAATACTGATTCGCATTTGTGGCTCATTGTCCTATGCTTAATAAAAAAAAAAAAAAGCTTAAAATAAGAGTAAATAATGTATAAATGCTAATTGATAGCACAAATTAATAAATTGTACTTACTTTTCTTAATAATTCTCACAAATTCTTTTTGGATTTCTTTATCTTTTGGTTGCTTTCTATTACCTATTGTCAAATTTTCTCTTTTACTACTGAGAACATGTTTCTTTATGTCTTCGGGTTTGTGGTTTTCATAGAGTATTTTTTCATAACAAAGCTTCCATAAAAGCATTCTAAAACTATCGATATTTTCATAAAATATTAATAAATACACATTTATATTAAAATAAAATTTAAAAGAAATGATATTTTGAACCTAAATAGTTCATATTTATGCATGTAGCCATGATCTAACATTTTTTTGGGGCTAGCCAATTATAAATTGATAATATTTTAGGGATTTGTGATATTTCTTCAGTAATAAAGCAAGCA